CGGTGTGGGATGTCCCCCACCCTTCCATTCTTGGATTAGTTGGTGATACTGGGACGTCAACCATAGCGACTAGTCTTTCCAACACAATTACAAAGTAGCCTTGCTCATTTGCCATTTTAAGCAATGACGCCTCATTGCGCAAGAGGTTCAGCTAAAGTTACATCTGATTTTCGAATTTCTGAATTGTTCGACTGAAGGAGTTTGCTATACACATATTTTGTTGTCTCCGACAAAAACAAACAAAAAAGTGAAATACCTAAAAGCATACAAAACTTCAAATGGAGATTTTCTTCCAAATATCGGTGCCATGTTCATTTTTCACAAGATGAATATTAGAATACTAGTATCATACTTCCCTAGTTTAGATCCTTGCAGGTAGTAACAGTTACTCTCTGCCCAAATCAAAACAAGTTTCCCCATAGATGAGATAGAGATGAAATTGCCCTGAAGAGTTAGAATATATGAGAAAATGTCAAAAGGTGGGTACTCAAATAGTTGTTACTTATCGATCTCGATCGGTTAGTATGTTGATAGTTTTTTAGTTTGTTTGTTTGTCTGTTAGACACTCGCGATATCTCATGAAAGCGAGGTTGAATCTGCCACAATTTGAAATTCAATCTAGCGATTGTTCGAAGGCGGAAATATTGCGGCCTGCGCGCTACAGGGAATGTGTGAGTAGGTCGGGGGAAGTCGGACCCACTAATAAGTTATTTTGAATAACTCTCCAAATAATGTCGCAGCTGCATTCGTTCTACGTTTAATTTATGCACCCACCCTCCAGCTATCTTGCCACATTTGCACATTGTTTCCATAGCAACGAATCGGATTTTACGCCCGATTTCATCTAAAAAAATATCGGGGTAAGTTGGACACTTTGTGAGCAAGACGGACACATACCAAAATAAACTTGATGGTGTTTAAAATTTTGGTCATAAGACTTCGGTCAACGCCTAGATGGCCCAGGATTATGTCTCTCAAAATTTTTTTAAACAGATCACTTTTCTTGCATATTAAAAAGTATGACCGTCTTACCCCATAAAGGACATAACAGGGCAATTTTCAAAAGAGTTTGAACAGTTTTAGGAAAACTAGAAATTTAAAATTTATTTTGCACTTTTTCGACTGCAATTTTTATATCTTCTTTACACGGACTACCTTTAGAAGTATTTATTTTTTAATTTATTGGCATATTTTATACGCATGTGAAAAAAAAAGTGGACGGGGTAAGATGAAATTTTACGCCGAGCCCAACTTCTTGGAGACCCAGTATAAATATGGGAATGAGTGTGCTTTTGATCTTTGTTGTAAAAAGGAAATATTTATTTATAAGTTTCGATGACGACGGCCCATTGACATTCCCAACAGACTATATTGAAAAAAAAACTTCCACCTCCCCATCCAAAATCCACCCTATCTCTTAAGTGACCCTGCCAACCCAAAAATGAGTACTGGCAGTCTGCTAAATAATTTATTCGATCTGATGCAACTACTTTCAACAAATAAACAAAATATAACCGAGTTCGCAGACTTTTCCGGCTAAAATTATTCTTCGCCACCATGGGACTCTATAATTTGACGTGTTTCTGTCCCAACAGAAACACCCTTTCCCCAAAATGCACCGCCTTGTAAGTTGTCGAGCCTGAAATGTAAAATCCTGGTTCTGTCGTTGTTCGCATGATGTCGCACTTTCACGCGATGCGTTTTGAGCGACGAAAAAGCGCGAGGTGTCGCTATTAGGAGGATTTCATTTTGACTGTCCATCATACCCCGGGTGTCCGATTTACCCCAACCTATTTGGCCCGCGAGTACATAAAGTTTGCCGACCATTGCACTACATCATCTGCATAAATGCTTGTGAATCTCTGTTCTCAGTTGGCTTATGATTGGAACTTTATTAAGTCTTTTCACTAAGTCTTTACTATTTACTAAGTCTCGTAAAAGGAGTAGCCTGGAAGTTGAACCTAATAGTTGTAACCTCCCTTTCAACGTGACCCGGTAGCACAAGGTGTCACATAGAGAAAACTAACAAATCGAAAACGCATCTCCCAAATCCTTGTCCAAACACAACCAATTGTTGAAAACTTGTAATGAAATTGTAATTCGAAGAATTGATAGCATAACATTAAATGCTCAGCAATACACAAACATCACAATAGACGGAAATGAAAGATGGAAGACGGTTTTCTAAAACAAAATAACATGTCTTAGAACACTTATAAAACTAAATAATACCAAATTCAGCAATGATCCAAATATAAACAACATACCGATAATATTTATGACACCGGGTAAGAAAACTTTGTGAATCCACGAGAATACTTCACAATCTGGTAACAATGACAATATTTAATACACATACATCAGTGAACTTCAAATTATGCAACTTAAAGTACTAGCATTCTTACCCAAAAATCATTGCATAATACATTCTGGAAACATCAGTACACTTTCTTCACAGTAACAAATGTAAGGCACAATATCTTAACACCAAGGGCAACAACCCAATAAGTCCAGTTACTAACTAATTTAGATGTCTAAGTCATCTACAAGATAAACACAATAAACAGCAATAATTAAATCACAATAATACCAACACAAAAAAACTTTAAAAACTTGACTTGGAAGCAAAACAGCAGCAAAGTATGGTGCAATATCCATTAATGGCGGCGAACTCGACTTAACAGCGCCTACACGTGGCAACAATATTATTGCCAAACAATAATACTTGGATCCTGTGGATCGTGACGTAACATTCTCCCCTCTAAAATGAATAATTAGATATGAGCCATTTTCAAAAATTCAAATTCAATTACGTCACCTCACAAACCACAATATTCAAGTTCACAATTTAAGCATCACTGTGAATAATAAAACACAATTTGTTTATTGGTCTTTTAAAAAAGCCCTTTTTTGTTTTAACTTTAACTTGGCGCACAGTCCCATTTTTATCAGGAAACACTTCAACAACTCGCCCCATGAGCCACTGGCAACGAGGTGCATCTTCAGAAATCATAACTATATCACCAATTTTTAAATTTGGTTTTTGAACAGTCCATTTTTGTCTTCCAATAAGTGTTGGAAGATACTCTTTACTGAATCTTCTCCAAAATTGATCAGCCATGTATTGAACTTGCTTCCATTTGAAGCGGTAACAATCCTTTTCAGTGAACACACCTGGCGATTCGTTTCGTGATCCTCTCAATAGCAGCAGATGATAAGGAGTTAGTGGTTCTTCATCATTCACATCAAAAGTCACCGGACAAAGAGGTCTTGAATTTAGGATTGATTCGACTTCAACAAAAAGAACCTGTAATTTTTCATCTGTTAGAATTTGATCATTCAGCAATCCTCCAATTATTTTTCTTATTGACCGGATGAGTCGTTCTCAGCATCCACCTGCTTTACTGTCAGTGGGACAATTCCAGTTCCATTCTATGTTCCTTTGACTCAAGAAATCATTGATATAATGCTGATTCCACTTCTTTATTTCATCACGAAGAACTTTATTTGTGACTTGAAAATTTCCAGCATTGTCAGAATATATAGCTCTTGGCTTAATACGTCGTCCAATGAATTTTCGTAAAACATTGATAAATGAGTCCGTTGACAAAGAGTAAGCCACTTCAATATGCACTGCACGCGTGCACATACAAGTAAAAATACATCCATATCGTTTCACATTTGATCTGCCTTGTTTGACTGAGAAGGGTCCAAAAAAATCACATCCAACTTCAGAAAAAACAGGTTTGTTCACTGCCAATCTAGCATCTGGCAAATCAGCCATAATTTGCTGTCCAAGAGGTGCATTTCGTTTACGACATGATATGCAGTTCCCCAAAACTTTTCTGACAGCAACCCCGCCTTTGATAATCCAATATTTTTGTCGCAGTGATGTCTAAGTATGTCTCATTCCAGAGTGTCCAACCTCCTTGTGATGTTGGAGTATCACCAAATTGGTGAAATGATGGTCAAAAGGCAGTATAATGGGATGTTTGACATCAAATTCCACTGGAGCTTTCTCAATACGTCCTCCAGCACGTAAAATTCCATTCACCAACATTGGCGTTAATTTCCGCAAGATGTTTCTGGATGACAGCCTTTTTCCAGCATCAATACATCCATCAGAAGATTTTGACAATTTATCTATGATTTCACCAAAGGACTGCCTTTGTACATATTTAATTAAAGCAAATTCACTTCTCCTCAGTTCATCAACATACAGTGGTCCTTTGTGTAGGTTTTCCCCACTTTTCTTACTTCTTAAAAATGAAATAAATCGCAAAATCCAAGCAGTCGCCTTTTTCAGCGAATGCAAATCAGAAAACTGCTCCACAAGTCGATTAGTAGCACTTTGATCTGTTAACATGCAAACCGGTTCTTGCAATTGTTTTACAAGCTGAAATTCATTAGGCAGTGGAGGCAACGACACAGGCTGAGGCCATTGCTCAGCATCTTTCCACAAAAATTCAGGCCCCACTGAGCCATCTGCTTTTCGTGGCCATCTTCTTTACACCGATACCCCGCGATGCTTCATCAGCTGGATTCTGCTTTGTAGCTACGTAACGCCATTGTGACACTTCTGATCCTCCATCAATCTTGGCTAAGCGGTTTGCCACAAAAACCGGAAAACGCTTATTGCAATTTCTTATACTTTGCAAAACTGCAGTCAAATCTGTCCAGAAAAAAAAATTCACATTCATTACCTAGATGAAGTTCACTTCTCAACATCTGGTCTATTTTCACTGATAAAACTGCAGCAGTCAGTTCAAGTCTTGGTATGGAAATTGCTTTCAGTGGTGTCACTCTTGCTTTACCAAAAAGAAATGCACAATGTATATCTTGATTTTCATTAACCAGGCGTAAATAAGCCACTGCACCATAAGCAACCGAGGAAGCATCTGCAAAATGATGTATTTGCATCACTACAACTCTTCCAAATCCATTGGGCTTTACACATCGATTGATAGTAATATCTTTTTAGCACTCAGCTGCTCAAGCCACTTTGTCCATTTTGCAACGTCACAATCAGGAATAGGCTCAGCCCATCCAAGACGTTTTCTACATAAATCCTGTTGCATGATTTTTGCAACTATCACCACCACTGCTACAAAGCCCAGTGGATCGTATAACGAACTAACAAGCGATAGAGTAGTTCTTTTGGTCATCACATCAGGTGATGTCATATCTATATTGAAACCAAATGAGTCAAAACTGACTTTACAATACACACCAAGAACACGATCAGACAGTGTTTCATCAAACTTCAAATTCAATATAGACTTGGCCTTCCCATCCTCAGGAATACTATTCAGTATTTTTTCACTGTTGCTAAGCCACTTCGTTAGTTTGAATCCACCTTTTTTCAATATTTCAGTAAGCTGTTGTTTCATTCGTAGGCCATCATTTTCAGAACACACAGATTTTAACAATCATCCACATAAAAATCTTGTTCAATGGCTTCGATAACATCAGTGGTCAACTCCCTCCAAAGTCCTGGGCAACTCTTTTCAGACAAAAGTTAGCAACAGTGGGTGAACTCTTAGAGCCATACAAATGTACAGTCATTCTATGAATAATAGGCTCTTTTGACATATCTCCACCAGGCCACCACAAGAATCTGAGAGCATCTCTGTCTTTCGGATCAACACGAATCTGATGAAACATCGCCTCTATGTCTGCTACTAGAGCAATCCGCTCCTGGCGGAATCTCATAAGAACACCGGTTAATGAGTTTGCCAAATCTGGTCCACTCAACAAAGACTCATTTAATGAGTAGCCACGATACTGACATGCTCCATCAAATACTCTTGGTTTTAGTTTTTGTGGATGTACAACACAAAAATGAGGAATATACCATATCTGATTGCACTCTTTCAAATTGCATTTTGTCACCTTTTCTGCATAGCCTTTCGCTATGTAATCTTGAACTATTTCTACATATTTCATACGTAGATCATCATCGCGAACCAGTTTTCGCTTAAGGCTTGACAATCGAGACATAGCCAAATCACGATTATTTGGCAAAGTTCTCGCATGAGGACGCCACAATAGAGGTAATTGATAGTGACCATTTTCAAATTTAATTGCCTCATGCATCAAATTAAGAGCATACCTATCTCTCGAGACATAGCAGTATCTGACATTTTTGTGAATCAATGAAATCTGTTTTCCACATTCTCTCAAGTTGCATTTGCAGTAAGTCATTTTGATCATTTTTTATAAAATTGACATTGAAAGATAACAATTCTGACCTTTCAATTTTTGGACCAATCAATGTCCAACCAAATGGAGTTTTCCAAGCTATAGGCTGTCTTGGACGACCTCGTCTCACTTCTTGTACACAAAAGGCTTCTGGTACATTGGCACCAATCATTAGTAGTACTTCAGCATTGTCAATGTTAGATAAATTCAACCCTCTTAGATGTGCCATTCTGTTCTTGTCATTCATTGATAACGGAGCATTTGCTTTCACAGGTAATTTGTCAATTGAAAACACTTCAGGCAAATCCATAACTTCCTTGCCATCACAAGATTCAACCCGCAATTGAACTTTTGACCCCCCGTGTATCTTTGACTCACCATTCACAGTTGTTAATGAAATATCAGCTGGCTCCCGATGTAATCCAAGCATGTCAATCAGTTTGTCTGAGCACAATGTTATTGCTGAGCCAACATCTAAAAATGCATATGTCTCCACTTCTCGGTCATTACCGGATACCTTCACAGGCACAATACAAAAATACACGGACCTATTACTTTCTGTGGCCTGACACAAGCTTGATTCTGGCATGGAAGCTGGAGAAATGTTTTCTTTCTCACCAATAGTAGACTGTTCTTGATCAGATTCATTATTTTCCTGAAATGAACGATGAATAAGTCTGTTATGCTTTGCAGTGCATCCATCCACTCCACATGAAAGCTTAGATCTGCACATACTGGCAACATGTCCATATTTCAGACAAATATAGCAAAGTCGACGTGCCCTCATAAATTTAATTCGTTCCACAATCGGCTTCTTCTTGAACTTTTCACATTTTGACAGATCATGAGGCATCGAACAATACATGCATTTAGTTCTTGTATGCTCACCTGAAGATGACAACTGCATCTTTTTCTCTGATACAGTTTCGGTGACATTGTGTGCCATTGTTCTAATTCGAGAAGTTTTCATTGGTTTCTCAACAACACTCACATAATCATCCATCATTTGACTAAAGGATGAATTGACTGCAGTTTCTTCTTCAGTCACAAACTCAATGAAATCTTGGAAAGATGGTTCTTCATCTATCGCTATTATCTTCCCCACTCTACGTTTCCAAGCCATTCTCATACTAGGAAATAGGCGATTTGGTGCTCTAGCCAAAATTTGTAGATTGTCCATTTCATTCTCTTTGTTTATGCCTTTCAAAGTGAGTTTGCAATCTTCCAATGTGCGAACAAATTCTTTAAGCTTTTCATGGTCATTGAATTTTATCTGTGGTCCATCAACCACCTTTTTCACACATGAATGAACTACCTCATGTGTTCTACCATAATTTTTCTCAAGCAGTTTAATTGCTTTTTGGTATCCTTCCTCTGGATCAAGCTTGGCACATGACTGAATGAGCTTTCGTGCTTCTCCGGTACAATGCTGGAGTAGATATGACAATCTGGCAGCATAACTATCAACATTTTCATCAATTTGAGCAGCAAAATTACGCCTGAACATATGATAATTCGTGGAATCACCAGAAAAATATAAAACTTTGGGTTTTGATCTATTCAAATGCTTGATCAATGTCATAATATCATTTGACAATGATTGAGAAGAATCCGGAGGCCTACCACTGGCCAATTGACAAGTCTTATTAACACTTGCCTGATCAGAGTTATTTGTAACCACTGACTGATTTGGAATATACATAGCAGTAATTCTATCGTCCTGATTTCCATCTTCAAATTTGCTTGGAACAAGCAAATCCAACACTCGAGGCACTACAGGGCCATTTACCCCAGCACTCTGTTTATCATCTAGTACAGATTTTGATTCAGTATTGACAGGATAATCTTCAACAGCCATTGCCAGAGTACCGGCATCAATTTTGCCCACAGCACAGCCAACGTTAGACTGTGCATAAACAGGTGTACTCTGCACAAGATGTAAGCTTTCACATGTGGTTTTGTTGGCTACCATGCCAACTTCTAGCACTTTTCTATTGGCCTCTGAACCCACATGTCTCACATCCTTCGAAAAACGATTATCCGTGACATCAACATTCATTCGATCTGAACTAGTGGACTGCTCCCAAAACTATTCTTCGGCATCAGCCGTTTGAACTTTGTGTTCCGAATCCAACATTTCTATTGACTGGTGGATTTGATTTATTCTGTTTTGGAGCTCATGTTTACGTTTAATCTTTTCAAGTTCCAATCGAGCCAATTTAGCTTTTACTTTAGCTTCTGCTCTTCGATAACTGATGACTAGACTGTGTTGATTTCTCCAATTGAGAAAACTGATCTGCTGCTGCTTTGACTACAGCCAGCAGCCATTGCTGCACTCTACCATCAAATTCTGCCTGATTCTGGTTAATGCTTTCCATCCAATTTGCATTTTGCTCAAAAATTGCAGATGGATTCTCCCTACAGAATTTCATGAATGCCTGAAATGTTTCAGAAATGTGCTTCGACAATTCCTGAACAGAAACAGCATTTTTGCGATCCATCATAAGGAATTCGACCCTTAAATACAAGTCTTTCAGTCGACCTTCCAATATTTCAAAAATCAAACGTTGACTGGAGTCTGAACTTGACATCTTCAAAAAGTTATGTTGTTGCTTTATTCGATAATTAGATTTTGTTCAGAATTGTGTTATTCATGTGATATCGATAATTCTATATTATCGAAAACTTTATGTAACCTCCCTTTCAACGTGACCCGGTTGCACAAGGTGTCACATAGAGAAAACTAACAAATCGAAAACGCATCTCCCAAATCCTTGTCCAAACACAACCAATTGTTGAAAACTTGTAATGAAATTGTAATTCGAAGAATTGATAGCATAACATGAAATGCTCAGCAATACACAAACATCACAATAGACGGAAATGAAAGATGGAAGACGGTTTTCTAAAACAAAATAACATGTCTTAGAACACTTATAAAACTAAATAATACCAAATTCAGCAATGATCAAAATATAAACAACATACCGATAATATTTATGACACCGGGTAAGAAAACTTTGTGAATCCACGAGAATACTTCACAATCTGTTAACAATGACAATATTTAATACACATACATCAGTGAACTTCAAATTATGCAACTTAAAGTACTAGCATTCTTACCCAAAAATCATTGCATAATACATTCTGGAAACATCAGTACACTTTCTTCACAGTAACAAATGTACGGCACAATATCTTAACACCAAGGGCAACAACCCAATAAATCCAGTTACTAACTAATTTAGATGTCTAAGTCATCTACAAGATAAACACAATAAACAGCAATAATTAAATCACAATAATACCAACACAAAGAAACTTTAAAAACTTGACTTGGCAGCAAAACAGCAGCAAAGTATGGTGCAATATCCATTAATGGCGGCGAATTCGACTTAACAGCGCCTACACGTGGCAACAATATTATTGCCAAACAATAATACTTGGATCCTGTGGATCGTGACGTAACAATAGTTAGTGTATTTCTTCGAAAGTTACAAAATATAAACCCAATGTTAAATCTATATCAGCAGTATTTAATAAGCCCTAATATTCACCAATGCCATTAGGTCAATTTCATCATCAGAGCTATTGACGGATACGCAGTTACGACATTTACGAAATCTTATTTAACACAAACATAACATAAACAAAAATAAATACAAAATCAAAAATAAAACAGCGAGTTCCGGGATCAAAGATCAACCAAAGATATCCCGTGCATCTGGCTCCGAACGAGGCCAGAAACGAACATTCATGGATATCTGACTGTAGCAAAAGTTTGTGACATATTGTAAATGTTGTTTAATCGCAGTCCATAAAATATTTTCGATTCTTTTCTGAAAACATAAGATGTTCGAAAATGCCTAGCCATACCACTGATACCTGAGAAGCTATTATTTACTGAAAAAACAGTGATTTTTGCAAATCGACATTGCCTCCCCAATTTATTACACCATGGTTGAGATAGTGGGCATGGGATTTGAATCTGGATCTTATCACTGTAGGAGCTTGACGGGGTGTGACTTTATGCACCCTGCTTGCTACACAAAGACGAAGGGCGCTGAACTGTGCGCCAATATTTTCCAATCTAAACGCTCTAGTCTATCCCAATACAGCAATATTTGTCTATGTTCGGTCCAGGCAATCCTCTCCAAATTATCCCGTCTTATAATTGAGATAAGCAAGCTAAGTCCACAAGCCCACAATACGCAACTTTAAACACAGGAGAATTGTAATGTGTCGTGAAATTATCGAGCACTTGCTCAGCATAAAATATATAATCGAGATGTCAGATGGAGCCGAATAGATTACGGAAACAAATGACGAATACAGATAGATTGAGTTGAGATAGAGAGAGAGGTTTTCTAAAGAAAACAAAATACACTATAAATACTATGAATTTGCCGCATAAATAACCAACATGCAATCAAATTATATCGCTCACCGACTGTTTTTGGCCAAGGTCAACAATATATCGAATCTTTTATGTAACTGCAGAAAACTGAAATAAACATGAACAAATAAGCACCACAGTAAAAGTACTTAACCCTACAGCATTAATTGTGTCAATAAACATAATACCAACAGTATTTCATCCAAATAGGACTTCTAAATAACAAGCCAAATGCAAGGAAATACAGAAAACTCACCAAGAATATTTCACAAAACAATCAAAACGCAGGACAGATTCACAATTGCAGTTCAATAATCCAGAGTTCAATGCAGCAAATTTTAAACTATTAGCAAGTTAAATAAGCATGGAACAAAGGAAACCATAATTAGGAAACCATAAAAAACCATAAACTATAATTAATATGATACAGCTTTTCTTAATGCTAAATCGCCATAGAAGTAACGCATTGCAACAGCAAACCAGCTGTGCACCTTTACAATTTCGGCCCTAACGCGAGGCGATACAATAACGATGTAAACACGCATATTACAGTAGACAGAAACCTTCTCGGCTCGGTCTACAGATAATAAAGAAACACATCAAATGCAAGTAATGAAATGAGACGTTTGCGACGTTGACAAACGAAAAGATGCAAAGGTGTCAGCAATAAAAAAATAAACACTAATGGCGCTGAAGATCTAAAAATCACAGTTATCGTATTTTTCGAAACTCAAGGCGCACTCAAATCCCATTTTCCATCAAAAAACAATCGTGCGCCTTATAAACTGGTGTGTCCAACATATAAATCAGGATCACTAACGCGTTGCCCGCTGGCACCAAGTCGCCCGTGAAGACCATATGAGTCGCCCGCAGGTCTGTTCCAAACTACAGTGTTTTCCCAAAAATAAGACTGGTTCTTATTTCAATACTCTTTCGAAAAACAACACTAGGGCTTATTTTCGGGGAATGTCTTACATTTTCATTTATCAAAAAAAAATAACAAAGTAGAGAATTACGAGATTTCCAAATATACAAATATCATAACGGATATCCATTTACATATAAATAACACGTTTTTATTCAAAATAATTTTAAAACATAGAATATTAATCATCTAAAACGTGTAGGAGATATCCTTGGTATCGACTGAGTCAAAAAAAAATTGCGGTATTGACTAGGTCTTATTTTAATGGGAGGGCTTATATTGAAATTTTTTAAAATTCAGGCTTGGTCTTATTTTCAGGGAAACACGGTGCGTTTAACAACGGCGCTTATTAGTAAGCTACATCAATTAAATTTTGTGCTGCTATTATTTTATAGATTACACTTATATGGGAAGTGGGAAAAACACTATATTAATAATTGCAACCATCAATCTGATTTTTATTTGATCTCAGTAACGTGACGGATCAATTAACACTCTTCCAATTGGGACATCACACTGATATCACTTTCCACGAAGCTGCGCTTTTTCTTTTCCGTTGGTTTGTGTAGCAGCAATAATACAATTATTGATTTCAGAGTGAAATGGCAGAAAAACGATGAAAAACACACAATTTTCCCGATAAATAGGAGGTGGATATATTTATATCACCATGGAAACAGCCTGCATGTGTGTCATTCGTGGGACGATTGTAGCGACGGCAAAGCGAAGAGATATTTCACATCTTGTCACGCAATCTACCGCGCTAACTATCTACTCACTAGTCAGCACAGTACAGTCAGAAAAAGCTCGCGATTAAAAGCATACAGCAATCTTATTTTACGAGACCATTGTTTGGTTCAACTATCTTTGTGAATCAACATTTTTGACATAAACTCAGGATAGGATAGGATTTACATATTAATCCCGGAGCAGAAGATAGCCGATAAGACGGCTTAACCATATGGCGAACCACGGCCTCTCTTCCGGATACCAGTTCATGTCGGGTATGGGATTAGTTAGGTATTTGTTTCGGAAGCATGGACTTGATGGCGAGGGAAGCCGTAACCTATCAGCGGTAACTTAAACCCCCCAACGGTGGCGAGGAGTCCAGCAATCCTCTCGCACATATCTATCACCGCATGGGATTCTAACCGGCGAAACTAACGTTCCTAACACTTGGCACGATAGGCCACAACGTGTTGTGTATTGACTTTTCATGTATTTTATGTTTCCACTAGTTGGCGTTAAGTGTTTCCCTATTGCATCATTCTTGTAGAGCCTTGTGTGATATTAGTGATTCGGTACGCTGTTCTAAGTTTGCTTGCTAAGCGGTGTTATTGTTTGTTTTCATTAAACTGATGTTTCTATCAAGTTGGATTCTTGTATAGTTCATTAGTCAGTGTCAGGGACACGACAGATTGGCGACGAGGATTGGTGATTTGAAGAGTCGTTGAAAGTACGACATAGTGAAAACAGGCAAATTACGGTAGTAGACTACTGGTGACGTCATATTTCGGAAGAGAAGAAAAGTGTGATAAATGGCTGAATTACATTCACCACCACCGCAATGTTTATTGCAAAGTCCAGGTGAACAACAAGTACCTTGGAAACGTTGGTACAATAGCTTTGAAACATATATGAAAGCCACTGGACTTGATCAGTAAAATGTATCTGCTGATAAAAAACGTGCAATTCTACTGCATTGTTTAGGCATTCAAGGCCAAAGAATATTTGCTCCATTATCAGACACAGATACTTATGAAGAAGCAGTTGCTGCTCTAGAAAAGCAGTTGGGTATAAAAGACAGTGTAAAAATGCAAAGACATCTTTTTGGGAATAGAAAACAGCATGATGGTGAGTCAATAATAGAATATGTCGCTGCACTCAGAGAAATATTGTCAGAGTGTAATTTTGCGGATATGTCAGATGATATGATCTGTGGTCAAATAATCGAACACACCATCTCACCAAGAATAAGAGAAAGGTTTCTCATGGAACCTGATACACTGACTTTGGATCAAGTAGAAAAGCTGTCTTGTCAAATTGAAACTGCACATGAGGAATCACATCGTATTCAGAAAGAAACAAATTTCAATGGGAAACCAAAGTTCAAAAAGTCCTATTGTGTCCTAAGTCCTATTGTGAAAGGAATTCAAAAACAAAGATATCAAAATCAATGGAAAAATTAAAAAGCAAATTTATCATATGCTAAACATAAACAACATTGTACTTGTTGTGGATCAAAATCCCATGCTTCATATAGTAGGAATTGTCCTGCTAAAAATCGTGTTTGTCATGCATGTGGCAAAAGAAATCATGTCATGAAAATGTGTAGGTCTTTGAAACAAAAGACTACAAGACAAGTGTTGCCATCACAAAAACAAAGTGATGTGCAAAATGTATTTTCTGTTAAAAATAACAGTGATTCTGTTAATAGTATTTTTAAACATTGTTTTTTAATGGTTGATGGCATAGAAACCAAGCTTTTATTTGATGTGGGTGCAAAAATCTCAATAATGAATGGAACCATGTATAGAAAATTGTTTTCAAAGTATAGGCTTAAGCCCACAACACGGAAATTGTGTGGATATGGAGGGTCATCTATTGAAAGTATTGGGGTTATTGATTTACCTAATATTCAGTATGGAAATGAGACCATTGATGTATTTTCATTTTTTGTAACTAAAAAGGGAGTTAGTCTTACGGGAGTTGATTTATTTGATCGTTTGAATTTTAAAGTTACATGTAATGGTGCTACTGTGAATTCTATTGATTTTCGTGCTAAGTATGCTATAGTATTTACTGGCTTAGGTAAAGTGTCAAAATTCCAACATGATCTTATGGTTGATCATACAGTCAAGCCAATATCTTAAAAACTGAGAAGGTTACCACTTTCAGTTCGTGCTAGTGTGTCTGCAGAATTGAAAAGGCTTGAAGATAATGATGTCATTGAGAAAATTGAAACCTCACCATGGATTTCTAATATTGTCATTGTCCCTTAGAAAAATAATGAGATTCGTCTGTGTGTGGACCTCAGACAAGTTAATATGGCAATAATGCCTGATAAATATCTATTACCTACAAAGAAAAAGCTCACATCAAATTTCATAGCTCTACAGTGTTTTCGAAACTTGACTTGCGTCAAAGGTATGAACAAGTGCCATTAGCTAAAGATAAAAGATATCTTACTGCTTTTATAACACATGATTCTATATATCAGTATAAAAGAATACCTTATGGTTTAAGTTCATGGCCCTCTTGTTTTCAAAAAAATTTGTCTATGATTTTGAAAGATTGTGAAAACACAGTCAATAATATTGATGATGTAATTGTGCATGGTATAAATCAAGCAGATCATGATGAAAAGCTTGATAAAGTTCTCAGAAAACTTGCCGAGTATAATTTAACATTTAATGTGGATAAGTGTCAATTTTCTAAAAGTTGTATTAATTTTTTTGGGTTACAAAATTTCTGGTTCGGGTGTATTACTACTTGAGTCAAATGTTGAATCTATTTTGAATATCCCCATGCCTAAAAATAAGAAAGAGTTACAATCTTTTCTTGCGACTACTAACTTTTATTTGAAATTTGTGCGAAATTATGCAAATGTTGCTGAACCATTGGGGAAACTTTTAAGAAAAGATATTCCCTGGGAATGGACCGACTTACAGTCAAATGCTGTCAATAAGCTAAAAGAAAGCATAGCATCACCACCTACTTGCTCATTTCAATCCAAATGCTCAAACTATTGTAACTACAGATGCTTCTGGTTATGCTGTTGGTGCTGTATTGTCACAAATTGACAGACAAGGTAATGGAAAACCTGTAGCATTTGCATCAAAAACTGAGTAACACAGAGAGAAAATACTCAACTTGTGAAGGGAGATGCACTTGCATCAATTTATGCATGTGAACACTGGCATATTTATTTGTACGGGAGAAAATTTATTCTTCGTACTGATCATGAGGCTTTGAAATCATTGTTATCCACAAGTGGATCTGGTCACAGACCATTGAGAATTTACCGATGGACCGATAGATAGTAGAACATGTAAGTGGACCGAAAAATGAAGTAGCTGATATGCTAAGTAGACTTGTGCCAGATGATGTAAAGGAATCTGAAAATAAAGATGATTCAGATATTTTTGAAATTAACCTAGATGATTTGGTTACCAAAGAAGACCTGGAGGAAGAGTTTAAAATTGACCCAGTGTTACAAGAAGTTGTAAAAGGTTTACAAAATGGGTGGACTTTTCCAATTTCACCAGATGTTGCTGTATTTTATAAATTGAGACATGAATTAAGTGTCTGGAATGATGTTTGCCTTGCAAGAGGATTTTGTGCTATAATTCCAAGTCAACTGAGAAAACGAGTCCTAGAGATGGCACACAGTGGACATCCTGGTATG